GTTCTTTTCGGTTTATAAATTTATGTTCCTCGAACAGGATCACTGTATCTCTCTCACTTCTCTTGTCCGGGTTCGAATCTCGTTCAATAAACATTTCTGATTATTATTAACCAGGTGATTGAAGCAGCTATACGGTGTTTCCAGGGCTTTCACATATTAACTGTCGATAACGAATACACCGTTACGCACAACATGCCATCCACGGAACCGTTTAATGTAAAATAACTTTCTCATTTGGTACGCGAAAGCTGTATGCAAATAAAGGTGTCCGTTTTAGGATAGTTACAGGTCGGTTCTGTGACATTCTTTACGAGCTTGTGAAACCCAGTGCTGCAAAAAATGTTTGAACCCACCACTTTTGTGGCAACCATCAGGCATCGTTCAAGTGCCCATAGCCTTGGGGCCACACGATCAATGACTTGTTGGGTGTAGTTGGATCACATATAGACCGGTTGTTGTAGTTGTTTTTTGCCAAATCACGCATCTCCGTCCTGAAGTGTGAAGACTGAAAAAATCACCGTGTGATGACAGACAGGGTAAACTCCTGTAGTCATGAGCATCTACTATTTGCTCATTTAAACCAGCAACCGACTCTCCGAGACTGGGATTGGCAAACCACTTAAGGTCCCTAGTCTTGAGCCGGGTGACAACAAAGCTGCCTACCACCAAAGTTTAGTAGCATTGGCGGGGTTCGAAACTCGGACTCTAGGAGCAATGCACACCTGTGACAGCGAATCAAACCGCTGAAGAGATAGAGTGACCAAATCAGTTAGTTGCACATCTTTTGGGATGAAGTTCACGGAATAAAAGAATCAAATTTCTACTGCGGACAGTAAATATAGTTTTTCTGTGAGTTGGATTTGGTGAGGAGCCTAGAGTGCGGACTAGTGTTACAGATAAACAGCAGAATACTGTGCGCGCTGAAACAGTTTAGGACACGAGACGATTCTGTTAAACGGAAACTTCTTGTGATATAAGTTAGAAATTTCGGTACCGTTACTGAATCATAAAGTTAGATTGAAAATACAGGTTCCAGTTTTCAGATAGAGAACTGTAAAGTGAACTGTTCTGTTGATGAATCCAAAAAGTGGCTTATGGCAATAAACAAAAATAGGAATGGAACCAAATACGTGATTTGCAATAGCGTAGTTCCACTCTCATGAAAGGTTATGGATTGTTGGTCTAACAGTTATTTCCGGGGTTTGCAGCTGCTCACCAATATGCGAAAAACCAAAAGCTATTTTAATCTGCACGCACTGAAATACTACTGACTACACAATGCGAGTATTACCTCAGCAAATTGGGAACTGGTCTTAGGAATGAGGAAAATATTTCTCTTTCCGTTGAATTAGCCTTTCAGTTATTTCAGTATTCGTATCTTTTCGAGTGCCTGTTTTTAATTTTTCATATTTTTCAGTCCATTTTTTAATTGTCGCTCTTTTCAGCCCGCATTCGGCACGGCTTCTTCCTCTTCCTTTCTTCCCATCCGTACGGGAGGTCGCACAGCCAGTTCCGGACCCGGTGGCAAAGTGTTTTTCATTCGTCCGGATAAAGAGATTGATTTGAAAGCCTTGCTGTTACGTGAGCCTGCTGGTGTTGTTTACGATGCCAGTCTCACGGGTAAGCGCTTTGTGTTCAGTCTCGTCCAATGCACTAAACTACGTGGCTAATGAAACCATCTTTGACTACAACCCATTACAGAAAGGCCACGCTGCGGTATCCGACACCACTTTTATTTTTAAATATCCTTGGCGAGGTGAAAATCTGTGAATTTCTGGCATGCTGTACAGTGAGATATGTAATAACCAATGGGGCCGGTTAAATTTATTTTGAGGCATGTTTGTCTTTTCTGCTGACTAGTTTTCCTTAGTTAAGTCTTTGAACATGCAGATGCTCACAAACACGCTAATTTAATCTCTCTATGTAAACCGATAATGCAGGAATGCATATCAAATCCACTCACATCCACTTCATCATTGTCTCTTTTGAATCAGCCTTTGTCAATGTTTCCGTAGTCATGGTAGTCGTAAAACACTTCACCTACACAGAAGTTTTAGTCGCAATCACCTGCACATCTCTGGATTTAACCCAATTGCACATATGCGTGGCGATGCAACATATAAACCTACTAACACACACACACACACACACACACTAATACACAAATAATAGCATTATTTCGGCAACACAACACAACCAACCGCACGGCAAAGTTGATGACTTGGTAGCACCGCTAAAGCGAAAACCATTTGATTTCAACAAACCGCGCATGAACGAATTCATGCATCCAAGCGGGTTCTTAACACAGTTGCACACATGTGTCACTCCCTCGCTTTTGATTCACACTACAGGATCACAGGAACCGCGGAATACAGAGGAAGAAACAACGAGAATCTAGCCATTTGATAACTGTCTTTCGTTTTGTTGAACAGTAGAAGGGCTGAATCCCAGGGTCCCAAGGATCTGCTGTTCATTCAAGATAACCGATAATCTAAGTCCTGCTTTTTGGAGTGGTGAATCATATGAGGACCCATTCGCGCTCTGGGCCCATTCTCTCACGGGCACGTCACTCCCAATTATTCGTGGTTTGAGCGTTGATTCTGTGCCCCAGTTCCTTCGATTCTCGTTCCCGTGTACCCCATTTCTTGTGCAATCCCAAATCTCCTTTCCTTCAAACACCACTTATCTCGATTGCCCGAACTACCATCCACACAGGTCAACTCGGTCCAAAGCTGGTATCTGTGCCTGTGCCTGTATCGCCCGTATCGCCCAACTAGACTTCTGTCCCGGGGTTTCATTTCTGTGATGGTTTTTCTCTTTTACTCACTATTTTTGGTTTGGTCACAGTGGCGGCCACTCCGCTACCCCGTGCTCTCTAGTGGGCGTTGATCCCACTTGACAGTTCAGCAGCCTTAGAAGTGTCAGTGCTCACATCTATAATTGACTCACACTCAATTGAGACGACGGTCGTCAAGTGCTGTTATGTACAATCTAAACCAATAAAATAAGTTCCCTGCGCGTGTCTCATATCGTGTTGGTGGCCGTGCTCACATTCTCAGCCTTGTGCTTGCATCCGTCCGTTTCACAGATAGACACACACGCGACATTCCTCCCCTTGGTTGATCAGATCTGTCATTTCGCTCTCCAGTCAGTTCACACGTTCCTCTCTAAGTCCAACATCTACATTTTGGCAATATGCTTCTGACATCTGGGATACGGTCTTCTTGAATTCGTGTCCTCTTGTCCTTGGAACGACTTACTTAACTTTGGAAGTTTCTACCGCCGCTATTAATTTCACCGAGATGGTAGTTCTTCAAAGCCTGAGTCTTTTCATCCCCAACCGCATCAAATCCGTCAAACTACAACCCTCTGAACGGTTCATCCGTACCTGTCGTTGTACTGTGCCCCTAAAAAAAACAGCCATCCGTCAGTGGCNCAGAGCATCTGGCCTTCTGTCCAACCGGCAGTCAGACCTGTGGGTCTTTTGCCAACGCACTGTTCTTCCCGACTTCTGTCTGCATATAAGTTTCTTCGCATAGTAAAAATATTTGATACCCGGTTTATCCGCATTCTGCATTCTTCCTAATTCTTCTTTTACCTCATCCTGTATATGAGTGACCGAAATTTCTTTTGCCTTCTTACCACCAGGAAGTTCAGACAAATCCTTTTGTTTCCCGACACCCCTTACAAACCGCCTGGTTTGAGCTGGATTCCTCCGTTCATCCTCTAAATGCACCCTCCCCCTCCCCCCCCCGGTAAATTCGCCCCTCTTCTCCGCAATCTGTCTTGTCTTTCTTTTCAGTTCAGTACGTTTCTTCAGTGTTGAAACCAAGCACACCGCAAAATGTTAGCGCTGTTCTAGATGAACCGGTGACCAATTGTTTAATTCATTTGTTCATATCATCAGCTACATGGTTCACGTGATACGATAACTGGAGTTCACCACTGACTACGACTGTGTTGTTCCTTTATCGTACGATTCGGCTTCAAAATGACAAAGGCATGTAGTTCGAACCACTAAACACAAAGCGAGGGGAGCACACCGTTGTGCTCATGGGACGTGTACATTCTTTTAGAACGAAATTATAGATTTCCGAATAGACTAAACTATTTTCCACATAGTACTGGATGAACTCCGCCAAACTCGAAACATGATTCCGGATTGTCTTTCGTGACTGTCTGTGAACTTCACTATATGAAATAAATAAACAAAACTTCTGGGCAATTCAATTTTTGTGCACAATTAATTCCCCAGCACATTGGTTATCTGTCAACGGACGTCAACCGATTTCTCCTCAAAATCCACCCCCGGACTTTGTGGCTCGTATGAGTCTATTGAATGGAACTACTTCGGCGAAAGATTCCAAATCGAAATCACTGAGCCAAGAGCCCACAGCTTCGGATCGCCCGTCGGAACCGGAGCAATCGGCCGATCCGAAGCAGCTCGGTTCGTTGGCTATGAAGCGTAAAGCGGATCGTAATCCATATCAACTGGACTCGGAATTTCTATCACATCCTCGTTCAGTCACTGCCCTGTCAGTTACCGTGAGTGATGCGAACTGGGTTCCTGACGTTGCTTTTGTCGTTCCATTTTTTATTTTTACTGTAGTTGTTCGATCGATGCAGGTCTCATTCATTTTCTAACATTGACTTTTTTACAACGCCTGTTCATGGTTGTTCTCTCCCACACCGGAGATGCCATTTGTCGGTATCTTTTCGGTTCTTAATCAACTTCGTTATTCCCCCTAGTCTGTCAGTTCCTGCTACCCTTTTTGTGAGCATTGAGCCTATCATTGTACGACCATCTCTCCCTCGCAGGATCAATTGGTTTGCCTCACTATTCGTTTTTCATGTGTGCTGTGAGTTTTTGTTAAAGTCAACTTAGTTATTGGTCCAATTGCAATAGCCAAGGGTGGTCAAGCTAAGACCTGGCATGAGGGTATAAAAACCCTAACCAGGAGTCTGGGTCACATAGGTCCTGTTAGGCNAATCTGGTGGGGCTGCCGGACGAACAATACTGAGGTTAGGCGCAAGTGATCGACCTCCATAGATTACGTTGTTTGGGGCATGTGTTACCCATGTCATCAGATAGGTTACCACGGCGAGCGATGTTTGCCGAGGCAGGTAGTGGGTGGAATAAAGCCCAGAGTGGTCAAGCTAAGACCTGGCATGAGGGTATAAAAACCCTAACCAGGAGTCTGGGTCACATAGGTCCTGTTAGGCTCCCTGAATGGGGACCCCGAGGTCAGCGTAATCAGTGGTTGGAGACACTGAGTGATATAACTGGGAGTCGTAAACAGTACCGTTCGTGCATCTGCTCTATTTCTTTGTAACACTAATTCACTGACCTCCTCAAATTTGTTTTCGATTCTACTTTCAACCTTTCCTGTCCTTCTCCCACTGTTGATCCAATTGGGCAGCTAAAAGACAGCAACCAAAACCGGCACACGAAAATGCATGGTTAATGATTGTACAAACTGAACCTGAAACCAATCGCCATACCGGATCAGTAGTTCTTAGACCGAATGAAAACTCACATGTTCCACTTCCGAATTTGCTGTAAGAATGCGTGTTTCAAGCTGCCGTCCTATTGGAAAGCTCGATCCTAAACAGAGTAGACAATGGAACGCTTGTTTTAACACTCGAATGCCACCGGGGTCGTCGAATATGATCGGAATCTATCAAAGCGATAGCGGAGGGGGACAATTTCAATAGTTTTTTGATACTTTCGGATAATCCTGGACCACTTCAATCAGTAGTCAGTATTCGGCCGTCAGTGATCCAATATTGCCGGCTCGTATTAACCAATTTTCTCAACTGTGGATTACAGTAGAACAAACAGTAACACCAGTTACACTGAGTTATAGCTGTAAACTTGTTGTACAAAAGGAAATCCCTGAAACTGACACCTCAGAGTGTTCTTACAGCACACCTAGGAGTTTTGAGGATTTTTCTTCTTGCGGTGTTTCGTCGAAGGAAGAGTTAATTTTTTCCTTGGTTGTTGGAGATTACGGTGAAGCTTAAATATTTGCGACTGGTTCCCATGAACCAATATCCACTAGTGGAGTTTCGTGTTCGAACAGTTCGAAAATACTTGATTTAGTTTGTGAAAAGTCGAATATCACGGGAGTCTACTGTACAACTGTAGTGCATCTTCTATCACAACAATATCACCGGCATATTAGTGATGCGCACCTCAGAACTCGATTAGACACCATTATAGTCCGCTTCAAGTCAAGGGACGTTTTATGCACCCCATGGGTAAATTTTCAGCAATTTATGAACATGTGCTGTGATTGTATAGAAATTTCAATGAAAAAATAACAGAAAGTAAATTGGAAAATGCGATCAAAGAATAACATTATGATGCAAGAGTCTTTCCCTTTGGATGGTGAAAATTTTCGTACGATTAACCAAGAGCCTAGCCAGTTTCGTATGAGAAAGTACGTGGAGCGACATGGATTAACATTGATTTTGTGATACACAATGCTCTTTCTTGATCGCCTGTTATCCTGTCAATAAACGTAGTACAAGCATCGAAATGCTTAGAAGCAAAAGAACTATCAATCCCACTATGTCGGGACATCATTCTGTGCAGGACAAATCAGGACAGGTTGTTGATAAGAGTTGTACTGAAATTATTTACTAAAATCAGATTTTGGGATGCTTTGATTAATGGCTATAAAATCATCGCGATTACTTACTGATGCAACATAAGGGGGGGGCCTGTTTTAAGACTGTCGAGCACATCGATGCACCTGTTGATTTTACTTAGAACAGATCGGGATAAAGATCAATTATGAAGTTCAATAAGGCTGACTTAGAGGTGATCCAAACTGTCGCTGCTGTTCTGGTGTACACTATCCTATAATTTGTGTGTTGGTATACAAGCGGAAAAAATTGAGCAGATCTATTCATTGATCACCCGTCTCTAATCCCTCCCTCCTCGCGTTCTCGTTTTCAGCGTCGTCCGCACGAAGTCAGTCAAGAGGTGATGATTTATTTCCGTGAACTGACTGAAGCGTGTGTGGGTGCCAATGAGAATCGTCGTCACGAGGCGTTGGACAATGCCACTCTGGATCCGGGATTGCAGCCAATCTTGCCCCATTTGGTCACATTCATCACGGAGGGCGTGAGTATCCCCGATGTTCTCTCCCATTTTTTCCGGCTTCGCCACCGTGTGTATCGATTGTGACAATCGTGTAAATTCCTCAGTTACGTTCCTTTTTTATTCAGTTAAATTTCTCTTCTGCCATCAACGAAGGACGGTCGAATATTCCGAATAAACTGTCATTACATGCGATTGAATTCCTTCATATCTACTGCTTGTTCACTAGTCCAGTACCGTATCCGTTTTTTCTTCATTGGAACGAGAGACTTCGCATTCTGTTCCAGAACTACAGTAAGCATATATTCTGACTTTCACCAGGCCACAGGTTAGATGGGTTTTCTGTTTTACGCCGAATAACTGTTTTCGCTTTCTCATCTTGTTTTTTGTACATACGCCATTCCAGTCACGTGTGGGTTGAACCTCTGTCTTCTCCCCTATCTCTCATTGATCAGATTTGACGGATAACCATTTACCTTATCGACGATCTAAACCTTCTTTTCCTACTTACGGTCCTTAGTCTGTTGTCGGACAGTTGCTGCGTTCTCTCTCTCTCTCTCTCTCTCTCTCGCTATCTCTATCTCTAGCACGATTACCATGTATTTCTCTCGCGTGAAATCACTTCTGTTGTGCCTACTCTCCCAGTCCTTCCACTCCAGTCACACGCAAAAACCACCAATAGTCATTCTAATCGACTGATTGAGCTTAGATATCGCGCTAGTGGTTTTCCATCTTCCTTCCTCCCAAGAACTACAAAGTTAAAGACCCCCCCCCCACACTACCTCTCTGCTTTTGTTTCCTTGTGTTATAATTCCAGGAGCCCGTCGCTGGCTGAAGGAAGATTGTTTATTACGTACCACAGTTAGGGTACGGATAATTTGGCGTAAAAGATGTCTCATTTGGAATATGTCATCACGATTCCCGGCAGTGCACAGCCTAATGAATGAAACAGTTCGTAGTGATCGTAGTTACCGTTGAAAGAAATCGCCAACCGCATCATTTTGCGTACTACTCGCAAATGTGAGTAGTACCTCACAACAATTTTAATTTATTATCTGAACCTCTTGAAAAGTAGCTTTAACAGACTTATTGACCTGCCCAGCCCTACAGTATTCGTCGCATGCAGTTTACCCCTTTTTACTGTATCGTGTGTTTGTGCAATAATTATAATCTGTCTTGATAGTCGAGGTCAACACTTTTGGGCATTGGATGAGTTTTCCTCTAGCGTTATTCGTTGTTTGCAAGTTGAAAGACTGAATATTAAAAGGGACGATCCAATGGTATTTGTCATAAACCAGGGTCAGCGAAAAATCGAAATCACCATTCAGAAACTAAATTGGTTTTGTGCGTCATTTGAGAGCGGTTTTAGAAAATATTTAATTCAATCATAGCATGTCCATGCATTCATTTAATTCAAAACGGATTGTGTCCGCTGTACTCAGGTTCGTGTCAATGTGACCAATCACAACTTGGCTATTCTGATCTACCTGATGCGATTGGTCAAAGCTCTGGTGGACAATCCGCACATGTCTTTGGAGCCCTATTTGCACTTGCTCGTGCCCA